GGGACTCCAACAAGGCCCTCTGATATGGGATGCAGATGTCTTAACCCCTGGGCCAAATGCCCACCTCACTAGTTGTCTTTTTGTCATGTAAAATACTTTTCTTTCCAAGCAGCCAATTTTACCAACTCTCCAAGAGAGTCACAGTTAGAAAGCTTTCTCTAAGTTCTGGTTATGGTTAAGAACTCACCAATTGTTTTCTACTACTTGAATGTTTCTTATTTTACTTCCAAATGCCTGTTGCACTTGGAGGTGGCTTTTGTGTATGAAATGAGGTAGAGATCTAATTCTGGCTTTGTAGTTGTCCCAGCATAATTTCTAACTGTTCACCTTTGCTTCAGTGATTTAAGTTGTCACTCTAAACATCTAGGGGGTCCCCAAACACACTTGTGTCTGTCTGTCTGTCTACTTACTGCACAGTTGTTAGTCTATCCATCCATCAGTTCCACAGTATTCATCGACCTTGCAGCCCAGCCCAGCTGAGTGCCCACCATCCCACAACCTTCCCAATACAGACAGTGCAGGACTCGGCCTCCCACCCTCTGCTTACCACCCAGGCTTGTCTCCGCGGATCTTCCCAACACCACAGCCTTTCCGACTCAGATACTGTGTCCCACGCCTGCTGCCCACACCAGCATGTCTGTTCTCTCCCACAGCTCTCTCTCTGCCTGGACCAGATGGATGCAGTCACAGAGAATGAAGTTCTGCACTGTTATCTTGTAAGCCACACACTACCATGTTGACTAGTAAACCAAAGCCACCCAGAGAACTGCCAGGCTCCGCCATCACCGGCCTGCCAAGCTCGCATGCAAGCTGCATCCCAGCCCAGGCGCCTTCATTCAAAGGTCTCCTTATTGGGCCCTCAGCTGAGAAACCTCCCAGGGGCCTCCACCAAGGCTTCCTTATCAACAGCCTTGGCCAAGGTACCTACCTCCTGCCATCAAACTCGCCTTTGCCACTCCTGTCATTCTCCCCTCTTCCTCCTCTCCCACCTGCCTTACCTAGACAAGTAGGAATCCTCCTTCAGATAGGATTCTCCTGTCTGCACTGTCACTCAGAACATTAGTGAGCCAGCCCCTCTTCTTTTTGCCTCTTGCTTTTACCATGGGGCTGCGAGTAGATACGATCATTGCTTCCAGCTTGGCTCGCTGTCCTCACTGGCCATGGCAACACCTAACTCTTGCAGACACTCATTTTGAAAACACATGTAACTTACACACATTTCTGTTTCAAAAGTTATTTATTTAAAGGGCAGAGTGACATTGTGTTTTCAGGAATTCTCTGAGACGCAGAAGCAGGACATCTCCAGGACCTCCCAGCTCTGCTTTGTTCGGGTCTGACGTAGGGGACGCCATTTCCCCCTTGTGCTCGATCTTCTTCTCCAAAAGCATTGTCGACCACCCAATCTCAAGTGTGGTTTTGACTGTCCCTAGTCGCCAGGATGGACCTGTTCTGGTTGATCCGGGAATGGTTGGAAACTGAGTTGATGTCAAGTTTTTGCCCAAGTTTGAGTGACAAGGTCCAGAACAGTGGCTCCCAGAACCCAGGCTGCCTGGAGTTCATTAAATTCACTTTGGCCTGTTCCATGGGCATTGGCTATCCTCTCTCAGAGCTGGGCCAGCATTATCCAGTTAGGAGTTGTACTTCAGAGACTTTCAAGGATCAGGTACAATGTTCAGAAATGACCATGCAAAGTAAAAGTAATAGTCAAACGATAAATTCAGTTTGTAAAATGGTTTAAAATCATGAACCCAAGCCTGAAGGGGAACCAGCTAAATAAATCAAAGAACTGGGTGAGACTTACTGTAGCCACTCAGCCTACTCTCAGCTCTCCCAGAATTTACATGAGTCTAGCCATCTTGTCTGCCTACTAGAGAATTAAGACTAATTCTGTTACCTAAGACTACTTCAGCAAAGAAATTGAGTGAGTGTGGTTGAGTGACAACAGCCATTGAAGTTGAATCTGTACGGGCATTTAATGTAAATTTCTAGTCATATTTGCATCAGTGACAAACTAGAACTCAGATGTCCAAACAAATCTTGTTTGGCTCTTGGATCTAAGAGGGAGCTTGTGAAATGATTAGCCTGATTATGTCTTATAACACAGTCCTCTTCCTAGCTAGAGAGTGGTAGCCACATATTGGAGGAAACCAGAAGTCAGGATCCAGTCCAACATCTAGAGAGAGAATAACTCTAAAACAACAGACAGGGTTACACTCTACCAGCAGACAGACATCGTTTTTCTCTAAACCACTTTTCTACAGTTTCCCCTAGTTTTACAAAAGAGAATAAGAGGTAATTTGTTTATAAAATAAATTTAGTTTTAACAGACAAATCTGATTATTTACACAAGTGCTTCAAAAATAGCAATTAACTACATAGGAATCTCGAATTAAAAATCTGTTGAATGGCATGGGCCTTGGGCTGAGCAGTTAAGATGCAAGTTGGGATATTCCCATCCCCTAGCAGAGTGCCTTGGCTTGAGTTCTGACTGCACCTTCAGTCCTGGCTTCCTGCTGGTGCACACCTGGGAGGCAGCAGGTGATGGCTCGAGCACTTGGGTCCCTGCCAGCCCAGGTAGCAGACCCAGGGCAAGTTTCCAGGTCCGGGCTGCAGCTCAGCCCAATCCAGGGTATCACAGGCATTCAGAGGGAGAATCAGTGGACAGAACTCCCACTGTCTGCCTCCTACATAAATAAAAATGAAAAAATAAACTTCTTTGGAGGCTGGGAAGCCAAACCCAGGCAGACTTCAGCCTTCCTCTGCTCTCATCCCATGTCCGTGCTCAATGCCTCAGTGACATAACGAACGTGGGTTGTTTTCTTTCTTTCTTTCTTTTTTAATTTAAAACTTTTAAGAAGAGCTGATTGAAGTTCACTTCTTCAAAAATCAAGTTGCAAACTTTTACTGCAAATATAAAAATGAAGTTCTTAAACATCAACTTGATCAGATAGGAAGCAATTTAAAACTCTTGAAAGGTGTACTGAGAAAAACTAGGCTTTTTTCTCTTAAACACATTTGTTTTTTCCAAAAAGGGACATCTTCAGGAAAAGATAATAAAAATCCCAAGCTGCCTTGACAATGCGCTCCAGTAATCAGGAAGGTGCAGCTCCAATTGTCTGTCCACTGCTGGGGTGGGGACAGCCACGGGTGTTGGAGTCTCTGGCTCCACTTTCGTTCCGACCCACCTCTGTGCATCGCGGGAACCTTGGAGGGAGGCGGCCTTGGGTCAGCTGCTTGTGCTCCTCCGTCCTCTCCAGGCTGTCTTCGGTGAGGAGTGAGTCCTGCTCCGCAGCCCGCGCCCATGGTCTCGCTGCTCCGCCTTCTCCCACCACCTGCCCGCCAGCACCTTCCATCACTTCTGCACGGGAGGGTGGGAATGCCCTGGACCATGGCCTAGGGGCTGCACTTGCAGAGGGTAGCGGGGACCGGGTCCTTCCTTCTTTTCCCCACTCCCACTCTTCTGGGATTCTGCCACTCACAGCATGGACCCCTACACGTGGACCTTGTGTGCAACAGTGCGGGCCCCATGCCAAGGGCCCCATCCACAAGGGTTCTCCCCACGGTGCAGGCCGCGTCTACAAGGGTTCTCCCCAGTAGGAGCATGGGCAGTTTCTACAAAACTTCTCCCCAAGGTGGGGACCGCTCCAAAAGGGTTCTCCCCAAGGCGGGGGCCGTGTCCACAAGGGTTCTCCCCAAGGCCCAACCATATCTACACGGGTTCCTGGCTGCAGCACTTTGGCTGCCTTGCCCTGGAGCTGCACCAGGGTCTGCACCCTTTGCTGCCCACACCCCAGTGTCGCCTCACACTGCCGAGACCCTCCCTGGGTAATTCTGCTTTACGCAGCTGGGTACAAACACGCTTCCTCCGTGCTCTTCCCCTGGATGAACCAGAGCCTTTCGCACATGGAACCAGTTCACTGGGTCCACCGCCCTGCGCGCTTGGTTTCAGGGGCGTCGTGATGATGGATGCGGGTCTCGGCCTCGCTGCTGGCGGCTGCGGCTCCTCCTGGGCGTGAGGGTGGCGTTGATCGGGTGCTCATGGCTCTCTGGGGTCCGCTCTCCGCTGCTGCTAACTCGCTGTTTGGAATTATGCACTAGTAAAAAGAGAGAAGATTCTTATTGAACTTAGGCAAGTAAGTATATTGTCACAAAATAAGAATAGTCACAGTTTCAAATTTTGGCGGGACCAGACAGGGAAAAATAAAAAAGTTACCATTCTTCTCACAAGAATATTTATCGAATCGGTACAAGCTATAGATAGTTCAAGCGAAAAACTTTCCTTAAATTTAGAACACAGAACATCCTTAGAAAACCCGCATCCTTGGGTATCTGTACCCACATGGGAGACCCAAAAGCTCCTGGCTCCTGTCTTCAGCCTGCCCTAGCCGCATCCCAGGGCAGCCACTTGGGGAGTAAACCAGCAAACAGACGATTGCCTGCTGTCTCTGCTTCTTTTTGTAACTCTGCCTTTCAAGTATATAACATCTTTTTTTAAAAGCTAAGTATTAAAAAAAAGATTTTCATAGAAGCAACTTACATGGACTCACAGAGTTCTTGTTAGAGCTCTTCTAGGCGTAAGGACCTTCAGGAGTCACGGCTCTGCTCTCAGACATGGAAGCACGAGGTCCCCTCCTCCATGACCTCCAAGGTTTGGGTCTGATGTGACTGCACCTGGGCACGGGCAGCTTTCACGGCAGTTTTGCAAGTACAGCCAAGATCCAGAAGGATTCATAGAACCCTCATAAAAGCAGTTACACTGCAAGAGGGGAATGAATGAAGACTGTTTCTGATTCTATGAAGTTCTGTTTGATTCAGTTTTTGTATGAAAATCCACACATCTTAGAAAAAATAACAAATGTTTTAAAAAGCTTACCAATAATATTAAGCATGCACTGTGTTGGCACAGTGCTGATGATCAAGAAAGCAAAAATAATGAGGGAGAATTTTTCAGCCCTATGTATTTCCGCTCGGGCTGAGGAGTTCATAGTTCTGGGTGGAAATCATCTATGGACTTTCTGATGCTGTCGCAGGTGATCAGATCGCGCAAAGCTCTTGTCGCACTTGGTACACGTGTAGGGCCGCTCCCCAGAGTGCTTCCTCTTGTGTCTGCTGAGCTCGTCCACGCGGGAGAATCTCCATGGGCATCCTTCCTCACTGCATTCATAGGGCTTCTCCCCTGCAAGAGAGACAAGGAGAGACTCCTATCTCAGGGTCATGGCGGGCAGCGCTGTGGGAAGTGACCAAGAATAACAGGGTTTGGGGCACGTTGGGAGGAAGAGTCAGAGGAGAAATGCCTGGAGGGGGTGAGTAAAAAGGACATGGAGGGACAGAGGAAAACCATGAAGGAGGAGAGGAAGAAAGGAAATGAGGAGAAGAAAGAAGAGGAACAAGAGTGAACAGAGGGCGTCCAGGGCTGTTAGTTCTAGAATGGGTCCATGAAGCCACAGTCCCCGTAGAGGCAGGGTCAAGAACCTGCAGAAGGGGCCAAACATATTCCTTCCTTGTTCCATCACCTGCATACAATCCATGCCACAGAACAACTCTGGGCCAGGACCAGAGCCTGTCCTAGGACTACTTTATTCACCCTGTCCTTTCTTTCTTTTTTTTTTTAAGAGCTATTTATTTATTTGAAAGTCAGAGTTACACAAGAGAAAGAGAGAGAGGTCTTCATCCATTGGTTTGCTCCCTAATTGTCCACAATGGCCAGACCCATATTGGGTAAAGCCACTGCCTGAGACACTAGCATCCCATATGGGCACCAGTTTGCGTCCTAGCTGCTCCAACTGCGATCCAGCTGCTTACTAATGATCTAGAAAAGGCAGTGGCCCCTGCACCCATGTGGGAGACTTGGATGAAGCTCCTGGCTTTGGCCTGGCCCAGCCTTGGTCGTGGCAGCCTTCTAGCGGAGTGAACCAATAGATGGAAGATATCAGTCTTTCCCCCTCTCTCTGTAACGCTTTCTAAATAAATAAATAAATAAATTGAAAAGGCCCAAAACCCCTTACCCCTATGTCTGGGTCCTCACTCACCTGTGTGTTTACGCTTATGGATCTGGAGGTAGGAAGACTTTGAGTAAGATTTCCCACAGTCAGGATATGTACAGACGTAAGGCTTCAAAAGCTCAGGATTCTTCGGAGGCTGATAGCGCTGGGTCTGTAGGTTCCAATTCTGCTTTTCTAAGAGTTGTCCTTGAACCAAAGAAGAACTTGAAAAGTACTCTGGAAGTTGTCCTTGCATCAAAAGGAAACTTGAAGCATATACAAATCCTGGGTGTGGCAATGAGAAGGACTGATGGGGCATCATTTGAGTCCCATAGACTTGGCTACTATTGGTCATCATCTGGCCCCCAGAGAGGGAGCAGTTACCAGTGAAGGGCATCATCTGGCCCCCATAGAGAGTCTGGTCACCAGTTGGCAAGTTAATCTGGCCCACATATAGGGTCTTGTCACCAGTTGAATTCATCTGGCCCACATACAGGGTCTGGTCACCAGTTGGTGAGTTCATCTGGCCTACATACAGGGTCTGGTCAATAGCTGGGGTATTCATCTGGCCCCCATACAAGGTCTGGTTAGCAGTTGTCAAGTTCATCATACCCTCATAGAGGGTCTGGTCATCAGTTGGTGAGTGCATCTGGCCCACAAATAGGGTCTGGTCATTAGTAGTGGTGTTCAACTGGCCCTGATAAAGTGTCTGGTCACCAGTTGGTGAGTTCATCTGGCCCACAAATAGGGTCTGGTCACTAGCTGGGGTGTTCATCTGGCCCCCATAGAGGGTCTGATGGTCACCAATTGGGGCATTCATCTGGCCCCCATACAAGGTCTGGTCAGCAGTTGTCAAGTTCACCTGGCCCCCATAGAGGGTCTGGTCACCAGTTGGTGAGTTCATCTGACGCACATACAGGTTCTGGTCACTAGCTGGGGTGTTCATCTGGCCCCCATAGAGGGTCTGATGCTCACCACTTGGGGCATTCATCTGGCTCCCATACAAGGTCTGGTCAGCAGTTGTCAAGTTCATCTGACCCCCATAGAGGGTCTGGTCACCAATTGGCGAGTTCACCTGGCCCCCATAGAGGGTCTGGTCACCAGCTGGTGAGTTCATCCGGCCCACATACAGGGTCTGGTCACTAGCTGGGGTGTTCATCTGGCCCCCATAGAGGGTCTGATGGTCACCACTTGTGGCATTCGTCTGGCCCCCATATAAGGTCTGGTCACCAATTGGCGAGTTCACCTGGTCCCCATAGAGGGTCTGGTCACCAGTTGGTGAGTTCATCTGACGCACATACAGGCTCTGGTCACTAGCTGGGGTGTTCATCTGGCCCCCATAGAGGGTCTGATGGCCACAACTTGGGGCATTCATCTGGCCCCCATACAACCTTTGGTCAGCAGTTGGCGAGTTCACCTGGCCTCCATAGAGGGCCTGGTCACAAGTTGGGGCACTCATCTGACCCCCATAGAGGGTCTGGTCATCAGTAGAGTTGCTTATCTGACCCCTATAGAATCTCTGGCCACCAGTGGTGTTGCTCTTCTGGGCCCCATCAAGGATCTGGTCACCACTGGGAGTCCTCCCATGCCGCTCTGTAAGAGTTGTCATCTGAGCTCCATGGATAGTCTGGTTCTCACTGGGTGTATTGATCTGATCATCACATGTCATCTGGATCATGCCGAGGGTCCTCAACTGGCCGTCTTCACTGGACACTGTCAGCTTGCCGGCAGTGCCAGCTGACTTCTGACCATCAGTCGGTGTCATCTTCGGAATGTCAGTGATACCTGTCATCTGGGAGTCTGATGTGGGTTTGGTCTGATCAAAGGTTACTTCCTGGTCTGTGAAAAGAGTCTTACTTTGGTCCTCAAGAGGCCTATCAAGGTCCATAACAGAGGGTTGTGTGGAGTTCTGGATGAGGACAGTCCCAGGGATGTTCGGAGGCTCAGAAGGCACTGTGGGGGTCAAGGTCGGCATCGCCAGGCTCTGGGCTGACTCTTGTTGGCTTCCCTCATCACAGGCAGGCAGAGGCACTGCCGGTGTTTCTGCCTCTTCCTTATGTGGCTCACAGAGGTCCTGCAAATACTCCTCGATTTCCTCAAGTGTGGGAGGGGTGTACCTCTCTGTTGTTGTCTAGTAACTGAAATAGATATTCAGCTGTAGGATCCTGCACAAAAAAAAATTAGAAGGTCAAGAGCCCAGCCCCACTCAAATTCCATACAGCTGTCTCCCTCCCTGCTGATCTCATCCTAGTCCAGCTCTTCCCCAGCCCTCGCCTTGAAGCCTGCAATCGCCTCAACTGCTCTCACACTAGAATGGACTCCAACCAGTGCACCCTCCACACAGGGAGTAACATTTCTAAAGCACACATTCTTTTAAAATTGTTGCCTCATGTTTTATTTAAAAGACAGAGAGACAGGGACAGAGACTCAGAGAGCACATTTTTCATCTGCTGATTTCCTCCCCAGATGCTCACAAGAGCAGAGACCGGGTCAGGTGAAAATCAGGAACCTGGAACTCAAGCTAGGCCTCCCATCTGTGTGGCAGGGACTCGAGCACTGGAGTCATCGCTGCTGCCTCCTAGGGTGTGCGTGAGAGGAGCTGGGAATGGAAGTGGAGCCAGGACTCCAACCCAGGCATGGTGCTGTGGGATGCAGGGGTCCCACAGCACTCTGCCTGTCCTCAAAATGCAAGCTCTTCCTAAGCTATTTCTATCTACCAGTGCAGCTAGGAGTCTAGAGGAATGCTCCACTATGCCCTGCCGAGATCTCACTCCAGGGACTCTTCCAAAGATGGCCCGCCGCCCCAGACGTCTTCCTGGGATTCAATGAAGTGGATGCACTTTCTAAGATTTTTACCTCATTTCTTTTCTTTCCTATCATGACTCCAGAAGACAACTTAATCTCATGTAAGAATCCAGAGGTCCACGGAGGTGAAGTGAGTTGGCCCAGGTGGAAGACTGTTAACCACCTCTCTGGCACCCAGCAGCTTGAGCTTCCTGAGAACCTAGCAGGGACTGAACTATGTCTCCCCCAGATTCCTAGGCTGAACCCTGATCCCCAGTGTGTTGGGTCTTTGGGAAGAGATTAGGCCACGAGAGGAGAGCTCTCATGAAAGAAGTGAGTGCCTTCAGGGAGGCAGAGACCAGAGTTCTTTACTTCCCCCACAGGAAGGTATAGTGAGAAGATGGCTGTCCACAAGGCAGCCAGCAAGCCCTCACCAGCCAGCGAATCTGCTGGCACCTTGAACTTGGATGTCCCACTCTCCAAAACTGTGGAGAAATAAATTTCTGTCACTTATAAGCCAGCTAGTTTATGGGACTTTGTTTCAGCAGCCCAAACAGCACTCTCTTTTATTTAATGAACATGAATATAAATTTCCAAAGTACAGCTTATGGATTACAATGGCTTCCCCTCCCCCATAACTTCATTCCCACCCACAACCCTACCCTTTCCCTCTCCCCCTCCCCTTCCATTCACATCAAGATTCATTTTCAATTCTCTTTATATACAGAAAATCAATTTAGTATATATTAAGTAAAGATTAACAGTTTGCACCCACACAGAAACATACTGTTTGAAGTGAAACATACTGTTTGACTACTAGTTATAGCATTAAATCACAATGTATAGCACATTAAGGACAGAGATCCCACATGAGGAGCAAGCACACAGTGACTCCTGCTGTTGATCCAACAAATTGACACTCTAGTTTATGGTGCCAGTAACCACCCTAGGCTCCCGTCATGAGTTGTCAAGTCTATGGAAGCCTTCCGAGTTCACCAACTCTGATCATATTTAGACAAGCTCATAGTCAAAGTGGAAGTTCTCTCCTCCCTTCAGAGAAAGGCACCTCCCTCTTTTTTTTTAAGGGAAAGGTTTGTTGGGGAACGCCCAACAGACCGGAAAGCTGATTCCAGCCAAGACTGGAAGAAAAGTCACTCATCTTTTGTAGGTAGAGGGGTTTGAATGTAGAGAGGTTTTGAACAATTACACAGCATTAACTGGGGAAGAGGAGCATCAGTACACACAGGTTGGGAGTAGAGCCATTGGTGGTAGAGTAGAGGTTATGATTACAAAGAAATGAGGCCCAAGTGTGCTAGACAGGGTCTAGAACAAAGGACAGACTCATTATTAGAGGAGCTAAGAAAGGTGCTGTCTAGGCTACAATTAAGTTTTCTGATTGAGAGGAACTAGAACCTGACAGAAGGGGCTTGAGAGTAATCTGGTGGGCTTTAGGCCTTGGAAGTTAAGAGGCCCAGACCTATCAATCTCTCCACATGGGGACATCCTAAGGGAGGTGTGAACCTCCTAGGGGAAGGCACTCTGTTGACTTTCATTACTTAGCTGGCCTGGGAGGAGAGCTGGCCAGGTAAAGGCAGGTGGCATCTCCAGTTCTGCCTGCAATGTTGCTGACCCTACTTGGCCGTCCCCTCAGCTGCAGTGGTCACTTTGGAAGCTGGGCTGAGTGAAGGGCTTTTCAGCTTAGAGCCAATAAGATCTGTGGCTCTGACCTGGGCATCCTTCGACTCCAGGGCAGGTCCATTTCAGTGATCCAACTCTTGGCAGAGCTGCCAGGGCCCTTCACAAGCTGACTTCTGCTGCAGTCCAGGCTTACCCCATTGAAAGCCACTGCAGTGGACTGGCCTGGTGGGTCTCCTTGAGGGCAGATCACTGTACAGAACAGCCATTAATAGGCCTGCCACCCATTGCTTCTGATGCCTGGCTTTCTTATCCTCCTGAGTTTTGTTAAATCAGACCAGAGGATGCAAGTCAAGGGAGTGCCCAAGGCCCATCTCTAATCTTCAGTGGCCTAAACTACAAGTCTATAGTCACAGGCATGTTCTGTAGTAGTTTTCCTAAGGTAGACGATGCCCATGAGGAAAATAATATTCTCACTTTAAAACTTTCTTTCCCTCTGGTCTAAAAGGGAGGTTTTTATCTACTTACTGTTTACTTCACTGCTGGCGAAATCAATCTGGCTAGGAAATGATCATTTAAGCTCTTATTTTGGCTATGCTATTACAGAAAAGTGTTAGCCATCTCTTTTATAAGGTCTAAAGATTAAATGGTGCATCCTACAGATTCCTTCATAATAGAATTAGTTTCCTACCTTGAAGAGAATAGAGAAATGAAAGAACAAGTGGGGCTTAGAATAGAGAAATAAGGGAGCAAGTCCTAGATCGCTTGCTGACAATAGCAATATCACATGAAAAGTTAGCAAACAGTTTCAACCATTAGATAACAACTTAAGAAAACATTTACCAGAAGGTCCAATGCCGTCTCTAAATTTTAAGAATCATGTATTTGGAAACGCCTCTTAAATATCTAACATGGTGTAGTTTGTTGAACCAGTCAACTTAAGCACACACACATAAAATGTTTTTAATTTCTTCCTACCAGCAAGTTTAAAACATGATACAGAGAATCAGGTCCCACGAATTAAAACGTATATTTGATTAATTTTAGCAGCTTAAATTTACAGACACTCTTATTTAGAAGCCAATTAAAATAAAACTCTTAATACAGAGTTTTATTTAATAAAAAAATAAAGAGCACCTTCTTATGCAAAGTAATGAATGCAAGATGAAATCACAAGAATTTGGATAAAACTTAGGCGGTGAATGAAACCACAACCCGTCATGCCGAATATTATGGAATACAACAAAAGCTGCACCAGAGGGAAATGTCTAGCTATAAAGAAAATAAAAGCAAGAAAACTCCTACATCAACAACCTCACTACAATTTAAGGAACTAGCAAAACAGCAAACTAAACCCAAAGTTAGCAGAAAGAAATAATAAAATTATAAGCGAGGCGAGGGCCATCACTCTAATGCCAGCAGCGCTCCAGCTCCCTGCTCATGAGCCCGCGAAGGCAGCGGAAGGTGATCCAAGTCCTTGGGCCCCTGCACCCATGTGGGAGCCCTGGATGGAGCCAACAGGGCCATCTGGGGAGTGAACCAGCAGACGGAAGATCTTTGTCCCGCCCTCTCTCTCTGTACCTGTCTTTCAAATGGAAAGAAGAAAGGGAGCCAGGAAAGAAGGAAAAAGAAGAGGAAAATAGAGAAAAAGCCGAGGAACCACAACAAAAGGCTTTCCTGTCGCTGCCTCCCCAGTCACTGCCGCGCCTCCTGAGGAAGGGTGTCTTAACCCAGCAGCCTCCCACGCCGCCAGGCCTCACAGAATAGTCACGGCAGGCAGCTGGCTTGGAAGTGTCCTTCCACCGTCCACAGCAGAGCGCACTGAAGTCCAGAGCCGAGGCGTGGCCTGGAGACTCCTGCCGAGCAGCCAGGCCCCAGCCCCGCAGCCAGGGGACGCCAGCCCCACTGCCCTCAGCTGGCCCGCCTTCACCTGGAGGAAGGTGTGCCCTCGGCGGGACCGGTACGTGCAAGTGCCCAGAAAGGATGGCCCGAGAGCCTGACGCGAATCGAGCGCCCTGCAGGACCCCCAACTTTGTAGGCAGCGTTGCACTGCTGGGCCCCCCCACATGCCAGCCGCAGCGTTTCCAGTCCCCTCCCAACGTGACGCTAGAACCCTGGGCTGGCGAGTGTGGACGCAGACTCACCATAGTGGACGCAGAAAGAGCCCCTGGAGAAACAGTGCGCTCTGTGCCAGAAACACAGCAGGGCAGGGTGGAGAAGCAGGAGCGGACCACCCACCGAGGCAGCCAGAACTGACCCTGTCAGCAGCAGGAGGTGCGGCCCTCCTTTTATAGCACTAGCGGGGCGGGCCGTGTGCACACCTGCTCCAGATTGGCTCCTGGCCCCGGCTACGCCTCCCAGGGGCGGAGCCCTCTGCTCCCGCCTCGCTTCTGCTAATTTCCCCCTGACTCTAGCTTGGTGATTAAGTCACTTGCCAAAGCCGATCTACCTGGCCTTGACCTCTGGCCTTGAGCTCCGGCCCCTCCCCCACAGCCCACCGTGAGTCTCCCATTGCAGCCCCAGGAGTGGGTTTTGTTGTGGCAGTCATCACGCACT